GGATGGGAAGAGTGTCTGGGGCGCGGTGGGAAGCAGTGGGGATGGGAGAAGCCACCCAGGCACGAGGAGGCCGTCGGCGAAGCCAAGCGGGATGGCAGAGGCTGGGAGATACCCAGGTGGGCAAAGCAGGGTGGCCGAGGCGGGGGCCAGTGAGGAGGAAGCTGCAAGCCCCGGCCCCAGGGGAACAGGGCTCATCCGTGGGCTGAGCTGCACCCTCCCCGCGAGTCCTCGAACCACGGGAGGTGATCAGGGAGGAGCCCCTGTGCCTGACCCCGAGGGCTGCCTCAGCTCCCCTCCATCTCCCCGACCCCGCCACCGGCAGGACGCCCTTACCTTCCCGCCGTGGGCGGGGCCGCTCTCGCCCGGACCCCCGGCTGGTCCCGCCGGGGGCCACAGGGCCGGGCCGGCGCTGCCCCTCGGGAAAGGGGCGGCAGGGCCCGCCCGGCCCGCGAGGCGCTCCCGGGGCCGCCGGCGGCGCGGAGCCGAGCGGGGAAACCCCGGCTCTCCCGGCTCTCCCGGCCGCCGCGGCACCTGTTGCCAGGGAAACCCAGGTGTCTCCTCATCCGCGGCCATCCCCGGCGGAGCGGGAGGAGGCGGGCGAGGGGTGCGCGGGGGCGGCGGCGCTGCCAGCGCGGCGGGGGAGGCGGAAAATTAACGAGTAGCTTTTTCTGCGGGGGATTGGCGGGGGGAAGGGTGTCTTTGGGCAGGTTTCCCCCAGTTTTGGGCACAACAAACCCCTCTCATCTATGAAGCTGGGGCCTGTTTCAAAAAGAGTAATTGTGATTTGGGCAGGAACTGCCAGTCCCGGCGAGCCCAGAGAGACTGCTGTGTCCTGGCCTTGTTATGCCGGACGCTGGGAAGCAGGTGGAGAAATCATGGGCGGATTTCCTCTGGTTATAAAGGCTTTCTGAGGGGAGAGAGCAATGTCATTGTGTTGACTAGTTCAGCAGCAGTTCTATCCGTAACGTGAGGGAAGATCACAGGAGAAATTACACCACTCAAAAATTGCCTGTATTCCCTTTTGCTGCACAACTATTTTCCTTGGAGTTAACAACTAATCAATTCCAGGAATTTGATGGAGGCTCTGTATTAAAGTAACTGCAGCTAGCCAGGCTTGCCAGCACCCACTCACCTTGGGGCTGATCCCTGTGTACTAGTCCTGGCTCTCTTTGACTGAAGTCTTCTCCTTTGCAGCTTTTTTTGCAGCAGAAAGGATGCATCTCTCTGTTTGGATCCTCGTGGTACTGCTTTATTTCCGAAATCCCATAGGACTCAGCCTGTAAACTAAAATAGTGTCTTATAATGGAAGTAAAAACTGATTTGACAATTTCTGATCATATATTCATTACTATTAATTTTCTTTTAAACACTTGAAATTAACATTTTTTTACCCAAGGAAAAGTTTGAATATTTCCTGTTTCAAAAAGCAAAAATGAGGCATGATTGTATATTTTGAAGGTGTTAATAAGCAAGAAATGTGTATTGTTTTATTCAAGTTAATGTACTGAGTCCTGACAGTAATGATTTACAAACCATCGTATCCAGCACTTACAACTAAAGCAGCTGGGAAACATCAGAGCAGATATTCTTCTCCCTCAGAAAGGCCATATCTGCTAAACTGAAAATCTCCACAGAAACATACCAGTTTCCAAGAGAATGTTCATCAGAAAAACCCCTAAGACCTGGCTCCAACTTTTTTTTGAGACAGACAAACCAGTGTAGTCCCTGTATAGGCCACAGTCCTGGCTCTGGTGGCCAGAATTAGGCATCATAATCTCATATCCTTCTGCCAACAGTACTGGGGAGCACCCAGCAGAGTCTTGGTAATAGTGGTTTCTGCCCCACAAATCTTTTAAACCAATAAAATATCACCAGACACTGGGCAGCACTCCCTTATCCCAGCAAAATCACATCAGGTTTCAGCATGTGTGCCTTCTCTTCCACATTGCTAGGCTGGAGTCTCTTGTGAAATTCCAATCCTATCCCATAAAAAAAACCCCTGCTTGTAAGAGAGACTGCTGTCATTGTCTAGGAAGGGAAGAAATGCAGTAAAATTAGAAAAGATAAGGGTATTTTATCTCCAGATATAATCTGCAGCAGTTGCTATGGTTTTGCACATTCTGAGGTTGTTTTGCCGCATCAGCATTAAAAATTGTCATAAAACATCAAAGGCATCAGCTGAAGAAGAGGCACCTCAATATATGTGCTGCGTGCTCATTCCAGAGTTTCTGTGTCAAGATATGCCACAGATAGTAGTTTTCAGAGCCTATCAGATCTTCAGACTCCCTGCACACTGACCTGCAAGGCAAATTCCTATATCTTTCCCTTGTTTCAGCAGGACTAAAAGCTCTCTTGTGAATGAGAAAGACTCATGCTGTGTGTCACATGTGCACCAATAACTTAGCAGTAATTCCTTTTCCCTCACTTTTTTGCATAATTATTTCACCTTTCTCACATACAGCGTGAGATGAATCTTCAGTTTAATAAGTACCCCTGAGAAAGTGAAGTGTCTTTCGATGAGCTTGGGGGCAGTTACAACCCATGCTCTTCAAGCATTCAAGTTATGAGCTAAAGAAAAGGAGTTTTATATACTGTTGTGGCAATTCTCTTTCCGAATATAAGATTACCTCTCTTCTCTCACTAGTTGTTTCTTCACGGGCTTTAAAAAAATGCACAGGGGAAAAAAACCCCTCAGTTTTTTCTCTCAGTTCAGTGAAATTGCAATGGGTGCCGTACATTTGTAGAAATACCTGCCATAGCTTTATTCTGAAGAATACAAAGAACAAGAGGAACTTTGGGGATTTTTTCCTAACACTTTTTGACGATGGCTAAAGTTCATGAACCTTGTGTACGTGAAATGCCAGAGAAATGGTGCATTTTTAAGGTCCGCATTTGTAACGTTGCATGAACTTATGGTATAAATTAGGAGTCAAATGAAGATTAAAAGGTATATGAAAAGAATTAATGGTAGTTTTTTAATATGCTAATTTTTTGTGGCTGATGTTCAGATGACAGGAATCTACCAGTGATAAAGATTTTTACCTGCCCTGTGGCTCACATACAGCAACAGCACCAATCTGAAGTATTTTTAATCAAGGTACTTGCAGAACATCACAAGGTGTAGATATGTTAGTCATTTGTCTCCTGAACTCTTTCATCTTTCTCATACAAGAAGGATTCAACTTACTGAGTCACAGCAAAGAAACCATGCAGAATTTTATCGAAGGGTTATATGCAAAAACTATGCGCTACCAATGGCACTGGTCCAGTAACTAACATATGCTATGGCGACGGTAACACCACATGGGAGTGATGGGCTGGGCTGCGGGGTGAAAGGAAGTGCTAAGCAGAGTACGCGGTAGACGGAGGGAGCTATTCCAGGTTTATCTTCCCAGTGCTATTTTTAAGTTTTTATATTAAATTTGATCTCGATACAGCCCTTCTTCCCATAGCTTTGGAAGTCAGTGCAGCACAAGCACACGGAAAATACTTTCCAGTTACAGCATGAACAAGCTGAGCAGGAGGGACTCACTGCAAGATTATCATCCAAATCGCCATCTGCCCAAGGGAAAGGACAGCATGTAGTTGCACTATTCCTGGAGCAAAGAAAGGACCAGGTAGTTACCAAGTCCTTCTTGCTCTCTGCAGAAAGCCCACCTCAGGAGGTTTGCTCCTGCACTAGCTTGTTCATGCTGCCAGTGGCTTTAGCAAAGACAGGCAAATTTCTGCTTGTGTCCCTGCCTCAAAATTTCATTGTTGCAACTCCACCGATTTTGGGGTGGGGAGGTGAGAAACAACAACAAAAAACGTGATCAAAAACGTGGCACCCTGAAACAGGAGAAAGAGAAGGTAGGATGAGAATACGTTTCCTTCCCCTTGTACACTTTATGACATTGTCTTAACCTGCATCTTCTGAAGAAAGAAGTCACAGGCCAACCCTGAGCTGCTTTTATTCCAGAAGTGATCAGGGCCTAGAAGCTATTCAGTTTCCAATCATGTTAAGAAGCTGGCCTAGAAGGCATGGACAGCTAATTTATTCCAGTGAAGCCCCTTCCTCTCCAAAATGTTTGTCACACTACCTAGCTTTCATGGGGGGATAGAGAATTGCTCCTGCAGACCCATGTCAGCAGGATTCCACTTTGCCATGGTGCAGAAACTGGGAGGCAGCCAGCTACACCAGCAATACTCTCATTCCCTGCTGTCAGAGAAGCATGAAGAGCTTGTGGGGAAGCTGAGGGCTGGAGCTGACATTTACAAACTAAGAGCAAGGATAGTTGCAATGTCTACAAGCATGAAACTTTCATTCACAGTTTCCAAATGTTCTGCTTCACAGAAGTCAAAAGCTCACACTAGTCCCTCAGGAGCTTACCTGGGATCAGAAAATTATTTTATCTAGTGCAGAAGACAGCTGGACATTACCCTGACCAGGTTTGGCAAGTTCCCAGAGGTTGACAGTCCATTTGATAACATTACCATTGTGGGTTTGCTTCTGTGCTATATGGATGCATAATTTAGGATAGTGAGATGAAACTTACCTCACAGCATTCTACTTACTTTATTCCTAGCTGAACAATTACAGTCAGTCATTTTATATCTGTATATAGCATTTAATCCATATTGCAATAATTCATGTACCATGTTATATTGCTGCACTGAGCCTCTGCCAGTTTCAGATCAGTCACCTCTGTCAAGTCCCATAGGATGAAAGGGCCTGTTAGACCTATTCAAAATAATTTTCTACCCTGGATGGCCACACATGATGTAACTTCCATCACCAGCCAGGTGCCAGGGGAAGAGCAACTGATGTGGAAAAAGGCTGTTGGAAATGGTATTCCTGCCTATGTCATACCAGCTGCTGAACTTATGCTCTATTGTTATCTGAATCTGCACTTGCAGTGACTGCCTGGACAGCCTCTTATTTTAATTGCTATTACTTTCAATGACATTAATCTAGGGGAGGGAACTTAGAGTTAAAGCAGCATATTTTATGTTTATAGAAATTATAATCATGTTCAGAGAGCAGATTAAAAGGGCTCTCATAATGATGGCAGTGAAGGCAGAAGATAGAGCTTTCATTTCCATAAAGCATCAAGCAAACTCTTTTTTACTGCCAACACAATCTGCTGCTGGCTGTAACTATTTATGTTTATTTTTATGTATTTATTATGAGTTTGTCCCCTGCTGTCAAGGAGACAGGCTTCTGCTCCTTACCTTTCAGGAATGCATTAATCCTGGTGATTGGTTAACGTATGGTGAGGGAACAGAGCAAGGGGAATGAATACAAGCTGCAGCAACCTAGTGCAGTGTAAATCCGGGGAACAAACTGAACTAGATAAAAGAGATGGAATCCAGGAACCGTTCTTAATCCTGACAATTACAAGCAATGAGAAAGCACAGAAC